ACTGGACCAACAAGAAGGACAACCTCCGCAGCATCAGCAGGTGCAACAGTCGCAGCAGTTCGCAGGACTGGGCCATCAAGAAGGACAGCCGTCGCAGCATCAGCAGGTGCAGCCCCCGCAGTTCGCAGGACTGGGCCAACAAGAAGGACAACCGCCGCAGCATCAGCAGGTACAACAGCCCCCGCAGTTCGCAGGATTGGGCCATCAAGAAGGACAACCGCCGCAGCATCAGCAGGTGCAACAGTCGCAGCAGTTCGCAGGACTGGGCCAACAAGAAGGACAGCCGCCGCCGCATCAGCAGGTGCAGCAGCCCCAGCAGGCTGCAGGACTGGACCAACAAGAAGGACAACCTCCGCAGCATCAGCAGGTGCAACAGTCGCAGCAGTTCGCAGGACTGGGCCAACAAGAAGGACAGCCGTCGCAGCATCAGCAGGTGCAGCCCCCGCAGTTCGCAGGATTGGGCCAACAACAAGGACAACCCCTGCAGCATCAGCAGGTGCAACAGCCCCCGCAGTTCGCAGGACTGGGCCAACAAGAAGGACAGCCGCCGCCGCATCAGCAGCAGCTCGCAGGACAACCCCCGCATGAGCAGGTGCAACAGCCCGAGCAGTTTGCAAGGCAACAACAACAGCCCCAGCAGCTCGTAGGCTTGGAGAAAGAGCCCCAGCAGTTGCCACAGCACTCGCAGTTTGCAGAGAAAGCTCGAGAATCAGAAGTCCAGGCAAGACGCCGTCAGTGGATTGAATTTAGTTTTGGGGGGGAATGCGATGCCGGCCTCCTTGCAAGGAAGTTTCGGACGACGACGGGGATCCAACAGGAGACTGCGGTTGTGTGTTCGACTTGACTCTGTGGTTCCCAGCTTGTGTCTTGTGGCAGGAAAGAGGAAATCGAGGGCCAAAGCAGAGGTGATAGGCCCAGGGATGTCAGCACGTCAAGAGTGAATGCCCCGAACGTTTCAGATTTGCAGTCGCCCTGACTGACCTTGCTCTGTCAGCCTTAAGCCTTAAGCTTCCTTACTAATCAGTTGCTTGGACTCTGGGTGCAGGCCTGGCTTTTTCTCAGACGGCCATCGATGCTGCCAAGATGAGATCCAAGCTCGCTGCAGACTCTTGGACTTCAGACTCTGTTGTGTTGCTGACGGGTCCTAGACCTACTTAGCCTGAGCCAGGCAACAGCTGCCGGAAAAGTCGCTGAGACTGAAGCTGCACAACAGGGTGCAGCCGCAAACTCAGATAGCTGCCTGACAGACTCTAGACCTGAGCCAAGAAATACTACGAGGCTCCCCCATCTGCGGATTCTGGATCCAGCGGGACAGCCGGAGGCCACCAGGACTGGTAGACGTTCACTGCCTCGTGACTAAATCATACGTCCTCTCCTTGCAGGAGGAGCCGCCGGCCGCTGGTGATTCAGTGATACCGATTCCCGATGATGAGCTCAGTGTTTTTGCTGAGGATTTCGCACAGAAGTTAGATGCCATCTGACAGCACCCCAAATCCGCAGATTCGGGGCCGGGGTCCCAGAGCTCGCCTCGTGGTTTCAAGGATTGAGCCGCAAGCAAACAGCTCAAGCCTCGACCCTTCAATTCGATCCATAAGCACAGCCCTTTGCTCTCGAACCCCTAAACCCTAACTCAAGACGATGCCCGAATTAAATTCGTGGCTGGGTGGACATAGTACAGTGCTGTCAGATTGAGAAACATCCCTCGCTACGGCCGGGCGACTGCAGAATCTTCGCACGGGTCGCCACAACAGAAAGCCATGCCATAGGAAGCCAGCCACTTGTCTTGCTGCACGCCTCTGGGAACGGCCGCTCAGACAGATCCACAAATCCTAAACCTCTGAACCTTAAACCCTTAAACCTTGAACCCCTAAACCCTAAACCCTTAAACCCTAAAGCCTCAACCCCTAAACCCTAGATCTCGGGCTTCCGTGGCCTCCGACTTCCGGGCAGCTTTTGCATCATATCCTTGGAACAGGCCCATCATAGCTGTTGCTGCATGAGATCGTATAAGCACATCACACACACACACACACACACACACACTCCTGGACCTCCTTACTTTAAGTCCGGCCCCGGACACCTTAAATTACATGCCTTGAACCCTTAAACCTTAAACCCTAAACCCTCAAACCCTAAACCCTTACCCTCAACCCCCAAACCCTCAACCCCCAAAACCCTAAACCCCTAAGCCCTTGAACCCTAAACTTTTAAACCCGGAACCCCTAAACCCTAAACCCTTAAACCTTAAACCCCAAACCCTTAAACCCTACACCCTAAAGAAGCTTCCTGCCTGATCGCTCTTCCTTCGTGGCCTGGCAGTTGAGAGCCTTGGCTTCAGTCTTCGAGGTGTGCAATTTGGCTTTGGGTAGTCGATTTGAGATTGACTTTCACCCAAAACCCTCAAATCCAACTTCTGAAATGCACGCCCCACAACCTTCTAGACTTTAGGTTTAAGGGTATGGTGGGGGGGTTGGGTTGTTACATTTTCTTTGGGGTGTGGCCTCGCTGTTGAGCCCTGACTCAACTTTCTGTCTAGCCTCTGCTTGTGACACTTGTTTGGTGGCAAATGACAAAAGCAACTGAGGCGATGCCGCAGCCGAACTTCTGACTCCATCTTGATGGCCTGGCTGCTCAGAGCCTCGGCAACTTCAGAGCCCATCAGCTGTCGAAGTTTCATAGTTCAATGCTCAAAGAGACAGAATGCAGAGGCATGGGGCAAAGCTGTCTATTTGAGTTTGAGGGCTTACAGCTTCAGGTCTCGGGCTTTCGGTTTTTGTTTTCACTGCACGGTTTCGCAACAAAAGACTTGCTGTTACAGCACTGAATCCGACAGACCCTGGACCCTAATTCAGCTCCTGAAACCGAAAACCAAAAAGAAGACCCAAACCTCCCAATAGCACCCCTTCAACCCTAAACCCTAAATCTGAACCCTAAACTTTAAGTCGGCAGGAAGCAAGCAAAGTTCCGCTTTCCGTCGATGACCTGCGGGTGGTTCTGGCAAGCTGCCAGGCTCGCGGTTTCCGAGGGCATCCTTATTGTAGCACGGCAAGGGGGTTGTTGTCCCCGGGGGGCCCAGCTAGTATGCAACTAGACCTCAACCTCATTCAAGATTGAAGCCCCCTACGGCTGACGTATTCGGAACATTATTCTGTTGAGCCGGGTGTCTTGTTTAGGGGTTTAGGGTTTAGGGGTTTAGGATTTAGGGTTTAAGGGTTAAGGGTTTAAGGGTTTGGGGTTTAAGGTTAAAGGGTTTAAGGTTTAGGGGTTTAGGGCTTAAGGGTTTAGGGTTTTGGGGGTTGAGGGCAAGGGTGTAGGGTTTAAGGGTTTGGGGTTTAAGGTTTAAGGGTTTAAGGTTAGGGGTTTAGGGTTTAGGGCTTAAGGGTTTAGGGCTTTGGGGGTTGAGGAGGCGGGTGCTTAAGCAAAACCACGTAGTGTCGAAGCTTCAATAAGGTTTAGGGATACCCCTAGGGTTTAGGGGTTTCGGGTTTAGGGTTCAAGGGCTTAGGGGTTTAGGGTTTTGGGGGTTGAGGGTTTGGGGGTTGAGGGTAAGGGTTTAGGGTTTAAGGGTTTAGGGTTTAAGTGTTAAGGGGTTAAGGTATGTAATTTAAGGTGTCCGGGGCCGGACACCTTAAAGTAACCCTCAACCACACACCTACTGTGAACCCTAGAACTTGCACACAGCCCTCGCCCTCAACCCACTTCCAAAAGCAGCCGAAGACAACAAGGCCTAAAGCCCTGCTATTCTAAACCTTTGCAAACTAAACCCCGAAAGTCTTTTGCTGCGGGCCCTGAATCCTTCAAAGGCTGGACAAACGGTCACTGCCTGACCTGAGTTCGTCAGTTTCGGTCTCAGGCATGCAGGATTTTGGTTTTCGGGATTTCTTTATTAAGGTGTTAAGAGCCTGGCGGCTTCCGGTTAGTGGATTTGTTTGAGTTCAGGGTCTAGTTGCAGCTGAGGTTCGGCACGGGGTCTGGGGTTGTAAGGCTCTTGCACGACAGTCAGAGACGGTTTAGGGTTTAGGGGTTTAATGGGCCCGGCCTCTGGTTTTTGCAGACCCTAAACCCCTAAACCCTAAACCCTTAAACCCTGAAGCCTCAACCCTTCAACCCTAGACCTCAGGCTTCCGTGGCCTCCTGGACCTCCTTACTTTAAGGTGTCCGGCCCCGGACACCTTAAATTACATACCTTAAACCCTTAAACCCTAAACCCTTAAACCCTAAAGCCTCAACCCCTAAACCCTAGATCTCGGGCTTCCGTGGCTATTGTGTATGCTTTGGCTTCAAGGGCCAAGGTTGTTGGGTTGTGGGTTGTAGCCCCGAAGCTTAGCCCGAAAACTGGAAAGCCAGACTTACATAGCCAATCACGAACACCTACAACCCAAAACGCCGACACCCTTTAAGTGCAACAAGGTCTGGACTCGGAGGCTGCCGGGGCGCCCACCCAACACAGGACATTTGGATGTCGGGGTATCAGGGCAGCTTGGGAAAAAATTGGGCAGCATTCCGTTCCCCATGAACGGTCTTGAAACTATAGAGCAGTGCTGCCCGAGCCTTTCCCGAAAAGTGGGATTTGGTTGGGGTTTTGTTGGGGTTTGGTTGGGGTTTTGTTGGGGTTTGGTTGGGGTTTTGGTGGGATGTGATTGGGAAGTTGGTGGGGTTCGGGTGGGATGTCGTTGGGAGGCGGTTGGGGTTTCAGTGGGATGTTGTCGGTAAGGTGCTCCCACCGCGAAACTCCCACAAAATCCCCGCAACATCCTGCCCTGACCCCCAACTGGTCCCTGCCTCGTTCCGTATGCTGTCGGGCTCAGGAGCCCTGCCAGGAGCCCGATGCTAGGATGTTCGCAGGAGCTTTGACGGTGCCCTAAATCAATTGCACCAGCACCCGAAACGTTGACAGCGATTTGAATACTGCAGCCAATAAACAAGGGAAGCAAAATTCGTCTGGAGGCAGTTGGTGACTAGGCACTTCACTTAGTTAGTAGTTCTGGAGCTTCCCGTGCATGGCAACAGACGGCACAGCTGACATCCAAGATCGGCGGTCCTCGTATGACCTGACGATTTCATCCGACGACGATGCTTGGAACGACCTTTATGCCGCTGTGCTAGGATGCCTGAGACAAATCCCTATTTCCACATGGAAAAGCAGCAATCGGAAGAACGTTCGTTCAAAACACGAGCCGGTTGCACATCAGATGTGTCTGGGCCTGTATGCCGGCCCGAATACGAGTGGGCTGCCAGGCATCACGCAGGCCACATACTTGTATCGGGGGCTGCTCCGTGGTCTTCTGAGGCTGGGGCGGCTAGCCCATGACGACGTACCGATTACGTGTACGAGCATCCAGGTGAACCGCAACCTGCATACGATCCCTCACAGAGACTCCAACAATGCAGGTGAAAGCTTCATTTTGGGTCTCGGGTCGTGGGATGGAGGCCGGCTGTTTGTCCAGCAGGATCGAGGACCTCATAGGTATGTGCTGAAGGAGTCGATCCCTGGAATTGGTCGCAAGGGCCGTGTCCTACGAGGTAACGCTATGGATATCAGTACTCTGCGATGCTTTGACGGAAATCAAATCCATTGCACGATGGATTTCACTGGAGACCGATATTGTATCATTTACTACTGCCTGGGTCGGAACTACGCACGAATCCCGGCGACAGTCCACAAACGTCTTCAGGACTTTGGCTTCCTTCTGCCACCAGTAGCAGTGGCCCCAGAAGCTGTTCCAGTTATTGCTGCAGATCACACGGAAAACCCGTCGAGCGACTCTGACTGTGGCTCATCGTCGCATGATCTTGCTGCAACAATCGATGCACCAATGTCCGAGTCTGGCTCGTCGGTCGCTTCTGATTCTGCTCGTGGAAAGGATTGGCTCTCAAGTGGCTCCGCAGCTACTACGGTTGATCCCCCGCCCAACTCGTCGGATGGACCTGGGAATGCCGACTGGCTTTCTGCAAGCATCCCACATGCACAATTTTCGCTTCCAGCTCTGGGTGTTTACGCAGAACAAGTGTTGGGTCTTTTGCCATCCTTTTCGGAGGCAGAGGACACGTCTCATGCTTGCTTCTTATGGAGAGATGCAAGAGCCCGACCTTCGTGTCGACCCTGTGGCTCCTCGTCGATGCCCAGGTGAGTTGCCACTCCGTTCAGACAGATTCTTAGTTTCTTCAACCAGTCGCCGGTGTCAAAACAAGTGGATCTCGGGGATCAGGGCCCTCGGTGTCGAGTTGCTTACCTTTGGATCTAGAATCTAGAGCCTCTCAAGTTTGCAAAAATATCCTGAATCAGACTTGGAACCGTCTCAGATCAGAACGCCGTTGCCACACCTGTTAACCACAGCACATCTTTGTTGAAACAGCCGAAGCCTGGAGGTATGCCATTTTAGGTTTATAAGGTTTGGAGTCCTATGGGTTTGGGGTCTTAGGGCTTCGGGACGGGGAGTTAGGATTTGGGGTCTGAGGGTTTTGCGGTCTTAAGTCTTAGGTGTGTGTGTGTGTGTGGGTGTGTGTGTGTGTGTTGTGTGTGTAGGGTCACTAGGGTTAAGGTTTCCCCCCTGACCCAATGAGTCACCCGTCGCCAGGACAATGGTTTTTGGCTGCTCTATGATATGCTCGAGCACCGGCAACTCGCAAGGACTTCAGGCTGTGCATTCCGGAGCTCTTGAGTCTTAAAGCATTTCACGGTCGCTGCTCCTTTTGTTTCTAGACACTAGGGGTGCTTCTTCCCCGGTGTCGGCAGTGGGGACAGACTGCAATTCTGAATCAGTTCAAGTTCATGTGTTGTGTTTGCGAGTTTTGAAGACAGCCTCAGGGATGAAAGCTTGATCATTGTTTGTCAGCCCTTATGAACTTCAGGGCATGTGCGGCTGTGGGCCGGGGGATTGAGCTTGCTTGCTGGAGCTTGATTCTTCTCAACATTGGAATGTGTGTCGATCTTGCCGCCGAACAACAGCTTGGGCAGGTATGCTGGGGCAGTTTCAGTCGTTTCAATCACAGCAGTTGCAGGCCCGCATTTAACTTAGTTCAGCTGCAAGTTCAGAACCGGGATTAGTGCTGAAGTCCTGGAGTTTATTGCATTTGGAACTTCGGTAGGATGACAATGGCCCGCATTTAGCTAAGTTCAGCTGCAAGTTCAGAACCAGGATTTGTGCTGAAGTCCTCGGTAGGATGGCACTGACTGATGCTGTCTCGGAGCGACCTGCCTCTGAATGGGACGCCTTCAGTCTTCCTTTCGGTGTGGCCACTGTGGATGAGTTCCAGCAAAGGGCTGTGGTCAGCAGAGATGATGACAACGTTGTAGAGTGGCAGTGGCTACGACTTCATGCCTGGTGCGAAATTGGAACAGCGCCGGGCAGGATGATGGCTGCCAATCGGGAGTCCATGCTGCAGGACTTAGCACGCTGCCGGGTTCCAGACAGTGAGTGGAAGTACAGAGGGACTGCCGCAAGTTCAGATGCCGCAGCGACCGGACGGCGAGGCCACGGGCTGGGAAGCCGAGCATTCTTCGTGATGATTTTGTGGCTCATGAAGAATAAGAGCTTGAAGGCCCAGGCCAAGATCAAGGCCCTGGGACTTTTCCTCGGGATGGCTGGGCTTTGCTTGGCCTCGCAGAACACAGGTGACATAGCCTTCTCTTTCACTGCTATGCTGATAGATCCTCGTGGTGCTCTGAGGCATGCTGAGTTGTCGTTTGATGCATTTGGAATCTGCCGAGATACTTGGGCACTCTTCTTGCAAGAGTGTTCGGGGGGACTTCGGATATGGAATATGCTGTCCGCGACATTGCATCACGACACCTGTGTCGGGTGCTTCACTACAGGATGTTTTGTACTTTTTGCTGTGGATCTCTTGCCATCCAAAGGGCCGTGCTTCGGAGCAGAATTTGATGAGATGCTTGGTCGATTTGACGCTGCCGGGAGTCATTGCTGGGTTGGGCGAGCGGTTGACTCAGATGGCACATGCTCTTGTCAAGAAGGAGCTGGCGGTCCTGCCGACACTGCGATCCAAACACGGATTTGCTCGGAGGCAGGCCGATCCTGTGAATCGCATGATCCTCTTGTATCGATTCTTGGCGCTTTTCTGGTTGGCTCTTTTGACTTTAACTTACGGATTAAAAAGGAAGCTAAAGTTTATCTTTCAGCTTGGGTTGAGAAGTCAGCCAAGGCTTGCGGCGAGAGAAGCTGAACAGGCTGCGAACCGCAAGGACACATGAGGACATCGGAGCTGCGAACATCTACTTGCTGCGGTATGAGGCTTACTTAGATTGCATGCTGCATCATCAAGCACTGACGAGTGCCTTCGTCCAGGAGCGGCAGATCGCAGTCGCTTGGGACCCGTCGTCGTATGCAGGCAAAGAAGTCTTGGTGGCTGCCATATACAGTGCTCGTCTGGGCAAAGCTTCGTGGCTGCTGAATCAAGAGCTCAATCCGGTTATGGTTTCGGATTTGGACGCCGCATTGATGCCATTGGCGAAGGCTTCCAAGTTGAAACGAGTTGCTGGATACAACGAGCTTCGTGGCCTTTCAGCTTCACTGAGAGGAGTCGGACTCAGCTTGCTGGACTTTCGTGTTCCGCCAGGACTTTTCCTCCGGCCGCTTGCAAGGAACGAACTGAGGGTGCAAGCCCCAGACGGCCGCTGGTTCATTTGGAGCCGGGATAGCCAAGCTGCATTCCCAGAGATTCCCGACGATCTTGATCTGGGCGGTGTGCCAATCATCATTTCAATCACGGATCAGGGACCATGCAACATGAGTGCACTCAATTTTCTCATGTTTAGCACCCAAGCCATAATGCTCCACTCCCAATTCGATGCCTTCCACCGTGGGTGGAATGACTTGAAGCTGGCATGCAAACGCACTACAAGTCGTGCTTGGAAGAAAATCCTTGAGCTCACCTTGGTCGCGAACCTTTCATATGCTCCGTACGGAACGAGCCAATTTTTTTACAAGAAAGTTGCACGTCTGAACGAGTTCATGTCGAGCAATTCCTGCAGTTCGCCTGTGTGGAAGGAACATCAGCACTTGATCTGTCGAGAAATGCGAGTGGCGGAACCGAGGACGCCGGAGGACTCACAGCGACTTTTCGATGAGCTGAGAAATACGCCATCTTTCACGAGCAAGGGACCACCCATCAAGCTGATGCGGTGGTTTTCCTTTTTTGAGAGTATGGCGTTTTTGGAGGGCTCGTTCTACTTGCACAAGCTCGTCCTGGGCCTGGGGCAGTCTCATGGGGCAGACGATGCGGATGACAATCCCGACTTCACTTTGCCTCAAGAGACTGACCCGGCGAGAGAGCTACAGCGATTGAAGGCGAAGCAAGGCTCCTGGAAACTGGCACCGAAGCTGATCAACAGCCACTCCATGGCTGTGAAGGATGCCGTAATGGCCGTTGGGAAGGCGACCTGGAAGCATCATGCGGCAAGGGCCAGGGAGGTCAAGAACAGCATGCAGGTTCTGGCCTACAACATCTCGTGCTCAGGATCTCATGTTTCAGTCGTTGCGATCTGATGGCTTAGGTCCGAGTCTTTCAGGTTTCAAGGGTTTTGATTTTTAAAATAAGCTTTTCCAGGTTTTATTTAGGGTTGAGGGTTGAAGGTTTAGAGCTTAGGGTTTAGTTTAGGGTTTAGTGTGTGGGCTCATGCTTCGACAAACATCACCCGAATAAGGGCTTCTTTTGCATACAGAGGAACAGAACATATTCAAACCACAAGGTCTGAACTTCAGTTTCTCAATCTGTGAAACCTCGTGTGAAGGATCCAAGTATTGGGCCGTGGAGCTTGAGGAGATGGTTTCGGCATCTCTCTGGGATGTCAAGATGCTGCAACACACGATGCCGCGGTTCAAAGGCCATCCTGACGCTTTGGAGATTCACATGGAGCTTTTTGACAAACTGCTTGAGACACGAAGCATGTCGTTGGTGACGTTCCATTGCCTTCCACCCAACTGCTACCACCACTGCCTAGCAGTGGAGGATGATGTTGCTGCCCGAGCACGGGATGCGGCTAAGAAGCACTGGACGTTCCTTCTGGAGGCAGAGTCTGCAGAACGAGAAGGCCATCCCATCCCCGCCCTTGAGTACATGCATTGGCGACTCAGCCCTGCTGTGAGAGTTCTCTTTCTCGCATTCGAGGAGGACCGACGCCTTGGCCTCGAAGGCTCCAAACAGTCGCATGCCAAGAGGCTGCAGACCGTCTTCGCGAAACACCTGGGCGACAGTCGCTTGATAGAGAATGCACACCAGCATGCCAAGGACATCTTCCGTGCCAGCAAGCAGAATACTTTCTCAAATACGGCGCTTTTTTCGAAGATCTTGGGCTCCGGTGTCTTGGAGCAGAGGGGCCTGGATGTGGTGAAAAGCTTGATGGCTGACAAAGTGCTGTCACCAGCTCCCAAAACTGGCAAGCAGCTGCCTGTTGCCCAACTCATGAGGGCATCTTCCCACAAGCTTCCGAAAGACATGCAGGACCCAACGCCTTCCTTTGAGCCTAAACTAAAACCCTAAAGCCCCCTTAACGTCCTTAGACCCTAAACCCTAAAACTCTTAACCGTAAACCCTAAAACCCACAAGCCTCAAAACCCACTGTTTCGGAAGTTTGGGTGAGGATAGGGTGTTTCTTACTAAATTTACTCATTTGTTTTGGAAAATCTGTCTTGCAGTTCCGAGTTGTCTGGATTTTGGACGTGATTTGCTATTCAATTCTTAGGGCCCTGAACCCTGAGGAGCTAATGGTGCAGAAACGGAAGGCAGAAGCTTTCCCATCGCCTTCGCCGTCGGCACTGTTCCAAAGTGCAGCAGCAACTGAGTGGCTCTGGTACTATTGGGCAGCACGCCAAGAGGATACATTGCCTGCATCAGTTCACGCAAACAGTTCTTGGGTTTCCGTTTTTGCAACGCCCGGCTCCTGTCTGGCCCAACAGTCCACTGCAAGCTTGATGAAAGTCGTTGCCTCTGCAGAGTTTGGATTTTTGTCTTGGGAGTTGGAGGTTCGAAGGCGATCCGACGGCGGCAGCCACTTTGTTTGCATGCCTCGCAGGTCTGCTCTAGCTTGAAGACATATCACTGCCTTGGAGGACTGGGCTGTCATTCCTACGAAGCCTGTGCTACTGCATGAGGAGCTCGGGCCTCTGGGATGGGAACAATGTGGGCCTGCCATGTCTTTGCAGGCAAACCTCTGCTTGAAAGGGCTGCCGATCACAGTCCAGCAGATGAAGGATCTCGTCGTTTTGCTGGGCGGTGCCAAGCCTAAAGGGAACGCGAGCAGAAAGATGCTGGAGGAGGTTCTCTGGCAAATTTCCTTTCTTCCCGAGGATGTGGAGCAAGCCAAAAAGTCTGCTACTGGAACTTCTGCCGCGATGGATGAAGACGACATCGACTCCCAATTCAGTGAGGTGCTGAGTGAGCTCGGGGAGGACGAGGCAAACAAGACGGACTTGAAGGAGCTGACTGCCATTAAGAAGAAAGCCAGGGTCAAGCGACAGATGAATGTCCCACTACCAGATGAGCCTGTTCAAAAGAAGAAGAAACAAGGAAAGGGCAAAGGCAACGGCCGGGGCCGAGGCCGAGGCAAAGTTAAGCAAGAGGGCACCGCTGCCCCTGTGAAGCGAGGGCTTGTGGATAGCCTTGTGAAAAGAGCACGCAAACGCCGCAGACTGCAAGGTGGTCAAGAGCCACCGTCAGAATCACAGAAGCATTTGGATTTCTGGGTTAACTTCGTTATTAGGGCTATTAAGGTTCGGGACTTCGGCTTCAACCAGTTTCGGTTTTTGATATTTTTAACTAGCCTTCTCTATGTCTGTTTTCAATTCCTGTTTCCATTTGGAAGCTCCAAGCTGTCATTATTGACAGGTCTGCAACACAACCAGCGGACTTTACTCTCATCCAAGGTTTGGGGTTTACGGTTTACGGTTTACCAGAGTTTGTTATTGTTTAACCCTAGGGTCGGGGAGTTAAGTTGTTTGACCGTTTTTTGGTTAATGAGTCGAAACACCCAACACCTTGCCACGTGAATTGACCCAACCCTGAAAAGTTTCAACCCGAAAGCCTAAATCCTGAACAGCCCTAAGTCCCGCCTGCGATCGAGTCGAGGAACCACATGCTCCAGCCGATCCTGTGGATCCTGGTGTTGCAGAGGCAGCTGCAGCAGGACCCTCCTTGCTCGAACCGTCCGATCGGCCAATGCCTGAACCAGTAGCTCCTGCAGAACCTTCGTCGTCCGTGCCGGCCGCACGGCATGCAGGTGGCTCCAGAGGCCCGACAATCTACAGATCCCCGGAGCAGATTCTATGCAGAATGGCTCCCCCCGGCTGCACAATCGGCTTAAACCATGGGGACCACCGCTGGACCAGCAAGTTTGTTTCTGACAACGAGGTCCTCAGAGGCACTACCTACTCGCAAAAGACTTTTGATCGCGCTTTTGCTGTGAAACGGACGTGGCAAAGTGCCCTTGCCTTGGTTCACAAGCACAACTGGGAGAAATGGAATCTCATCAGGCATGATCACCCTCTGCCGCCAGACAGCCAGCAGCCGCAAGAACCTGGAGAGGTGCCGGAGGATGTTTTGGCTGCCTTGAGACCCATCATCGCCGAGCTGCCTCCGCTCAAGCGACGAGATCGTGAATTACAAGCCGATGGGTAGCCATGTGTCACATAGCTCTTTGCCCAGCTGTCCGTTGAAATGCAACTTCCTTCAGGTTTTCGGCTTCGGAACTTCGGGGTGAAGGGCTGAGGATTCATTCCATTGCAAGTTTCGTCTTATTCTCGGGCCTACAAAAGATCTTCCCAGACCACAAACCCTGCAACAGGCCGAACCACTTTCGGTTTTGGGATTTAGGGTTTACCCTGAAGCTCCTACCTCTCCAAAATGCTCCAAACATCCCACAGTCGCAGCCCTAAACCCTGAACCCTGAACCCTAAATCCTAAACCCTACCTGTAGTCTCCATTGTAGTTCTTTTTTCTCGTTAACCAAAAACTCTCTTATAGGATACTAACCATAAAACTGGTTACCTGGTTAACCAAAAAAAGGAACTGCAATGGAGACTACAGGTAAACCCTAAACCCCTAAGCCTTAAACCCAAACCGTAACCACTAAACCCTAATTTGAACCCCTAAACCCTAAACCCTCAACCCTGAACCCTAAACCCTAAACTTCAAAACCATTCAGGCTCAGGGGATCGGCACCGGGCAATTCCACGACGGGTTGTGTTTTAACTCACGGACTCACGGCAGGTGCTTTGTGAATGAAAGGTTTTTTTCGTTTAAGCCGGGATTCTTCAAAACCCGAAGCCCTGAACCCTGCATTTCACCTTCAAACCCAAGACCGATCCTCCAGTCCGACGCAGGCCTCACCCCTAAGCCTTTGTAAGTTAGGGTTTAGGGGCCTTAGGGATTGGGTTTAGGATTTATGGTTGTAGGGTTTAAACTCAAGGTTTTAAGGTTTAGGGTCTTAAGGAAGGGGCTCCGGGGCTGCCGTTGCATTTGTCGCGACTGAGGCGCCAATGACTTCGAATCCCTTCATTTACATCGAGAGCGACCAGCTGTTGAGCCTTGACCCAACTTAAACTTCAGGGGGCTTCAAACTCTGACGTGTGTGTGTGTGTGTGTGTCTCCTACGACAACGCCAAATTCGAAGCTCGAATGAATTTGATCAGCCTAGGTATTGTCCACTTTACGCTGCACGCCATCGACAGCAGAGATCAGATGCCATCGAGAGCACAAAAAAAGTTCAGCCCTGGCAAGCCTTCAACCGGGGACAATATTGGGATTTGGTTGGGGTTGTTTTGGGGTTTTGTTGTGGTTATGTTGGGGTTGTGTTGGGCTTCGAGGTGGCACCTCGAAGGGTTGTGATGGTATGGCTCACAAGTTGAAGCGGTAGCTTTTAAAGCGCTACCCTTGGGGTTTCAATGATAGAATGCCCTCCGTAAGGCGCAAAGGAAGCATCTGTATACACAACAACTCCCTTGCTGGCTCCTGGTACAGGTGTCAAGGATAAGGAGTCATCCTTGGTCGCGTTGAGAAACTCCAAGATCCGGATTCCAAGCTTGTACACAATGGTCGGAGCTCGGCTCACCCATGAACTCATCAATCCAACCTCATGTGCTCTGTCCGGCCTCGATCTCTGCGCAACCCACAACAATTCTCCAGTGATTCTTTGCGCCTTCCGCAAAGCTGCTGGGCACATAGGAAGTTCTTGTTCTGGAACCTCCTTTGCCCATTCACGCGGTAGAGGAGATGATCGACTTACATCGGGTGTACCGTATATTCGAGCGAGTTCCTCTATATAGCCTCTCTGCTTCAAAGAAAACCCAACACTTCCTTCGTCACCGGTTTCCTCCTGGATCTCCACACCCAAGAAGGCAATCGGATCATGAAGGGTTGCCCTTTGTAACGGCGTACACTCCCATCTCTCCTTAATCCAAGCAAACAAGCGACTTGCGTCACCCTCCTTTGCCAAAAACATAAGATCATCAACGTACACTATCATGTACCCAACAACCTTTCCCGAATCCGTCACCATGGATCAAAGATTTCCCTCCGTCGAACTCTGCTTCAACCGCGTCCTCCCATGAGGGCCTTCCCATTCAGCCTCCGATAAGACCTTATCCCTATGAAGGCTCCACCACCGCGGCGCTTGTCGCAGTCCGTAGACAGCACGAGTGACCTCCCACAGTTCACCCGGACTGGTGATGTTCAACTCCTCTAGCAGTTTGGGCGGACGAAGCAAAATCTTGGAGCCCTCCTCAGGTGGAATACCAGCTAACAATTACACCAGCGAAGACCCCAAACAGAATGCATCGAATCATACCGGTTCAAGTTGGAATGTGTTGGATCCCAAACTGGCTTCGCCAGCAGATTTTGTGCAGAAGAATTAGGCATTGGGCGATATATTTCTGCGAAAGAAGAGTGGGTGGTGGGACTCAAGCATGTAGGAAGGTTTTTGGGAGGGTCCAGGGAGCATCGTTCAGAGGATCTTGCTGCAACACCATGCACGGAAAACATGCACATTTCTCCCGCAACTGCCACATTGTTGCCGCCTTTGCAAAACAGGATACATGGCCTCTGCTGCAAACGTTCGCGGACGAAGTGCAAAAGAGCTTGGTGTTCGCTTCGGTTGGCTGTCGGACGCGAAGAAAACGAGAACTTTGCCGTGCATGTTTGGCAAGAAAGGTAGGAAGGGATTTGTCGGCTTACAAGGCAAACAAAAAGCTCTCTTAACACGGAACCAATCACGTTTTCTCTGCTGACCGAACGAAGAGCATTGTCCACAGGATTTTGTTGCCGCAGGAACCGCACAATGAAAAAACGCAACTTCCCCACAATTTTCATAACATTACCGTTTTGCAAAACAGGATTCCTTGCCTCCGCTATAGACACTGGCGGAAGAAGCACAACAAAGGGTGCTATATGGATCGGTTGGCTGTCGCACGGGAAAAAAGTGTGAACTTTGCCGCGCAATTTTGGCGAAAAGAAGCGCGCACAGGGGTGCGTCGGCTTACGACACAAAACAAGAATCTTTCTTTGCACGGAACCATTCACGACTTTTTCCTCAGACCGAACGAAGATCCATAGAATCTTGGTACCGCAGAAACCACGCACGGAAAAAACATGCAACATTGCCGTTTTGCGAGACAGGATATGTGGCCTCTGCTGTAGACGTCTGTGGAAGAAGCACGAAAGAGGTTGGTATACAGATCGGTTGGCGGCCACACGGGAAAAGGTAGGAACTTTGCCGCACGAACTTGGGAAAAAGAAACGCAAAGGGGTTTGTCAAACACAAATCTTTCTTTACACGAAACCGTTGACGATTTTTTCCGCCGACAAAACGAAGAACGTCGTCCACAGCCGCAGAAACCACGCACGGAGAGACACACAAGTTCCCCTTTACACGGAACCATTGACGATTTTTTCCGCAGACAAAACGAAGAACGTCGTCCACAGGATCTTGCTGCCGCAGAAACCACGCACGGAAGAACACACAACCTTCCCGCAACTGTTACAAATTGCTGCCTTGCAAGACAGGATACCGGATACCTGGCCTCTGCTGTAGACGTTTGTGGAAGAAGCACAAACGAGGTTGGTTTACGGATCGGTTGGCTGTCGCACGGGGAAAAGTGGGAACTTTGTCGCGCAATTTTGGCGAAAAGAAGCGCGCACAGGGATGCGTCGGCTTACAACACAACAAAAATCTCTCTTTACACGGAACCATTCACGACTTTTTCCGCAGACCGAACGAAGATCCATAGAATCTTGGTACCGCAGAAACCACGCACGGAAAAAACACGCAACATTGCCGTTTTGCGAGACAGGATAAGTGGCCTCTGCTGTAGACGTCTGTGGAAGAAGCACGAAAGAGGTTGGATATACAGATCGGTTGGCTGCCACACGGGAAAAGGTAGGAACTTTGCCGCGCGAACTTGGGAAAAAGAAACGCAAAGGGGTTTGTCGGCTTACATCGCAAACACAAATCTTTCTTTACACGAAACCGTGACGATTTTTTCCGCCGACAAAACGAAGAACGTCGTCTACAGGATCCTGCTGTCGCAGAAACCACGCACGGAGAAACACACAAGTTCCCCTTTACACGGAACCATTGACGATTTTCCCGCAGACAAAACGAAGAACGTCGTCCACAGGATCTTGCTGCCGCAGAAACCACGCACGGAAGAACACACAACCCTCCCGCAACTGTTACAAATTGCTGCCTTGCAAGACAGGATACCGGATACCTGGCCTCTGCTGTAGACGTTTGTGGAAGAAGCACAAACGAGGTTGGTTTACGGATCGGTTGGCCGTCGCACGGGGACAAGTGGGAACTTTGCCGCGCAAACTTGGCGAAAAGAAGACCGCACAGGGGTGTGTCGGCTTACAAGGCAAAATAAATATCGTTCTTTACACGGAACCACTGACGAATTTTGCCACAGACCGAACGAAGAACTTCGTCCACAGGATCTTACTTCCGCAGAAACCAAGCACGGAGAACACACACACACACATAACTTTCCCGCAACTGAGTTAATCCGACCCTCAAAAACAGCACAACGATATTGGGGTAGGATCGCCGGGCAAGGCAAGGAAACCCAAAAGGGAAGCCCAACCCGAAGAGGAACACAAGCTGCAAGCGTACCTCTTTTCTCATTATTTGAGCCAAAAATCATGTCATTGGCACATTAAGCCACACAGTCAGACATGTTCCCTATACAAGGACAGGGAACGTCGTCTTCGATCAACTAACTGTTACAACATTGCTGCTTTGCAAAACAGGATACCTGACTTTTGCTGTAGATGATTGCGGAAGAAGCACGAAGCAGGTTAGTATACGGATCGGTCGGCTGTCGCGCGGGAAAAACGGGCAACTTGCCGCACAAACAGGGCAAAAAGAAAAGCGAAGGAGTCGGCTTACATCGCAAACAAATATTTTCCTTACACGGAACATTGACAATTTTGCCGCATACAAAACGAAGAACGTCGTCCACAGGATCTTGCTGCAGCAGAAACCACGCACGGAAAAACACACACAACTGTTACAGCATTGATGCCTTGCAAGACAGGATACCGGATACTTGGCCTCTGCTGTAGACGTTTGTGGCAGACCAGGCGCCCAGAAACGAAACATTAAGGGAACCCAGCGGGAGCTCAGGCCCTCTGCTGCGGCCCGCCCGTCCAACCCAGGAGCCCAGAAAGGAAACAGCAGGAAGGAAGCCCAATTGGCAGCCCAATCCCTTTGCCGCGGTCCACCCATCCAATCCAGGAGTCCAGAACGGAAACATAGGGAGGTAAACGGATTGCTGTGGCCCAAGGAAACATGGAGGGAGCCCAACGGGAGTCCAGGTCCAACCCAGCAGCCCAGAAAGGAAACATGAAGGGAGCCCAATGCGAGCCCAGGTCCTTTGCCGCAGCCCACCCGTCCAAACCAAGAGCCCAGGAAGGAAACATAAAGGGAGCCCAATAAAGCCCAGGTCCTTTGCCGCGGCCCACCCGTCCAACCCAGCCCAAAAAAGAATTGAAGGGAACTGAATGGGAGCCCAGGTCCTTCGCCGCGGCCCACCCATCCAACCCAGGAGCCCAGGAAGGAAACATGAAGGGAAGTGAATGGGAGCCCAGGTCCTTCGCCGCGGCCCACCCGTCCAACCCAGGAGCCCAGAAAGGAAACATGAAGGGAACTGAATGGGAGTCCAGGTCCTTCGCCGTGGCCCACGCGTCCAACCCAGGAGCCCAAAAAGGAAACATGAAGGGAGCCCAACGAGAGTCCAACCCAGGAGCCCAGAAAGGAAACATGAAAAGCCCAATGGAGTTCAAGTCCTTTGCCGCGGCCCACCCGTCCAACCCCGCCCAGAAAGGAAACATGAAGGGAACTGAATGGGAGCCCAGAAAAGAAACATGAATGGAGCCCAATGGGAGCCCAGGTCCTTTGCCGCGGCCCAACGGTCCAACCCAGGAGCCCAGAAAGGAAACATGAACGGAACCCAATGATAGGTTCTTTGCCCCGGCCCACCCGTCCAACCCAGGAGCCCAGGAAGGAAACATGAAGGGAGCCCAATAAAGCCCAGATCCTTTGCCGCGGCCCAGGAGCCAAAGGAAACGCGAAGGGAAGTGAATGGGAGCCCAGGTCCTTCGCGGCGGCCCACCCGTCCAACCCAGGAGCCCAGAAAGGAAACATGAAGGGAGCCCAATAAAGCCCAGGTCCTTTGCCGGTGCCCACCCGTCCAACCCAGGAGCCCAGAAAGGAAACATGAAGGGAAGTGAAAGGGAGCCCAGGTCCTTCGCCGCGGCCCACCCGTCCAACCCAGGAGCCCAGGAAGGAAACATGAAGGGAAGTGAATGGGAGCCCAGGTCCTTCGCCGCTCCAACCCAGGAGCCCAGAAAGGAGCCAGGTCCTTTGCCGCGGCTCACCCGTCCAACCCCGCCCAGTAAGGAAACATGAAGGGAAGTGAATGGGAGCCCAGGTCCTGCGCCGCGGCCCACCCGTCAAATTCAGGAGCCCAGTAAGAAAACATGAAGGGAAGTGAATGGGAGCCTTCGCCCCGGCCCACCCAATTTAGGAGCGAAAGGAAACATGAAGGGAGCCCAATAAAGCCCAGGTCCTTTGCCGGTGCCCACCCGTCCAACCCGGGAGCCCAGAAAGGAAACATGAAGGGAAGTGAATGGGAGCCCAGGGCCTTCGCCGCGGCCCACCGTCCAACCCAGCCTTCGCCGCGGCCCACCCGTCCAACCCAGGAGCCCAGAAAGGAAACATGAAGGGAAGTGAATGGGAGCCCAGGTCCTTCGCCGCGGCCCACCCGTCCAACCCAGGAGCCCAGAGAGGAAACATGAAGGGAAGCGAAGGGGAGGTTAGGTCCTTCGCCGCGTCCCACCCGTCCAACCCAGGAGCCCAGAAAGGAAACATGAAGGGAGCCCAATGGGAGCCCAGCCAGTTTGCCGCGGCCCAGCCATCCAACCCACCGCGGCCCACCTTTCTTCTGAGGAGAGAACCCCAAACCGTACCTGTTTGGAAAAAAAACGCAGTCTTGATGTCTGTAA